ACGGGTCTCCTCGTAGATAAGACCAGAGATTCGCTTCACTCCACCACGACGAGCAAGACGACGGATGGCTGGCTTCGTGATGCCTTGGATGTTGTCACGAAGCACCTTGCGATGGCGCTTCGCTCCTCCTTTCCCGAGTCCTTTGCCTCCTTTTCCACGTCCAGACATTGCGACGATAACAACTCACGAATGAGATGCTGTCTGCGCTCAGCGCAGGGTTTTATGCTGTCAGCGCGGGTCCCCCCGTTGCGACCCCTCTCCATAGTCCCACTCCCGCGTTGGGAAGTTATGGTTAGCAGAATGAGTTTGTTGACCATCACTGTACTATTTATTACTACTGACGGTCTCGAAATTGAATCGTCTTCACTACACTTGCGCTCCAAACTAAGTTACTTACTCATGAAGAACACTTAGCCCTCTAGCCAAACTTGTTTCAAAAACAAACGAATATTAAATTTGAATAAGTTTTTACCAATCAAGTATGATTCTCACTATGATTGTATCACCCTTAAGGTCATTTACAGCCTGGGTTCAATATGGTTTATAATTGGTTTCCAAAAACATTTCTTCAAAACTTGCAGTATCGTAGAACCATCCACACAGATGGCAGTAAATTATAAAGCTTAAATGAAAGTAAAAAGTTGTTTCTTGCACCAAGCTAAGAGAGAACACTTAGTGCGTTTGTGAATTCGAGCCCACTTTGTTATATTTAATCGCTCATTAATATTACATCCTTCGCACGTTGTTTATTTGACATCATTACTAAGAATACTATCAAAAGTTACTATTATGGATTTCATTCTTCAATGGCTTCAGATCTCTTGGAGGTTTTTATTCGTTAGATAAGATAATGAATTTTGGTGAAATAAACGTCGATTCGTTTCGATTTCACATATGCTTTAGAGAAATTCTCGACTTAGCGTGAAAGGAGCCTTGGACGGCTAGGAATAACTATGAACCACATTCAGTTTTGAAGAAGACGATCAACATCGAAACGTCAGGTCCATTAAAGTCCCACCAATGCTTAAAAGAAAAATGCAGCCTTTTCACAGGCCAAGAATA